AGAAGAAGAAGAAGAAGAAGAAGAAGAAGAAGAAGAAGAAGAAGAAGAAGAAGAAGAAGAAGAAGAAGAAGAAGAAGAAGAAGAAGAAGAAGAAGAAGAAGAAGAAGAAGAAGAAGAAGAAGAAGAAGAAGAAGAAGAAGAAGAAGAAGAAGTAGTAGTAGTAGTAGTAGTTGGAAGGGACCTTGGAGGTCATCTAGTCTAACCCCCTGCTCAGGCAGGAAACTCTACACCATTTCAGACAAATGGCTGTCCAGTCTCTTCTTAAAAACTTCCAGTGTTGGAGCATTCACAGCTTCTGGAGGTAGGTTGTTCCACTGGTTAATTGTTCTAACTATCAGGAGGTTTCTCCTTAGTTCTAGGTTGCTTCTCTCCTTGATTAGTACATATGTACTTTTTTCCACTGCAAATAATGCAGAAATACAGAATATTATCTTCTTTCCTCTCCAACTGTCCTATTGGAAATTATCTCTTTCCCTTTAAAAACAGAAGTCCTACTGAGCATTCTGTCCTACCAGGGGCTAATAGCAACTAGGGATGGGTTCTCAAAAAATGCAGCGATAGAAGGAAAGTTAAACGTCTGCACCTCCTATACTCCTATTTTTAAAAAAAGTCCATATACAGTTAAGTGCCTCTAAAACAGGAGTCTTCAAATTTGGCCCTTTTATGACTTGTGGACTTCAACTCCCAGAATTCCTCAGCCAGGCATGCTGAGGAAGACCCCCTAACTCTAAAACCTGCAAAAAATTCCAGAAGTGAAATGCATATCCTACATGCAATGGGGATTATTATATCATTAATTCTTTACAGCTATTGTCCATCTCAATTTTTGCTGCAATTCCCTGAAGAAACAAAGGTACCAGGCACATCTAGCCACCTCTAGTCTTTAAACTTTTAATGGGTCATCTATTAAAACCTGAAGTTTACTATCAGAAAGCAAAAGTTTTCAGAGCCTGCCTTGGCAACTCTGCAATAGACCAAAATAGATTCAACTGTATTCAGTAGAACTTAAATCCAATGTACAAGTAGTCCTTGACTTCTGCCCACAACTGAGCCCAAAATTTCTGCTGCTAAGTAGGACATTAGTTAAGTGAGTTTTGCCCCAATTTTACAACCTTTCTTGCTACAGATGTTAAGTGAACCTGGCTTCCCCATTGACTTTCCTTGCCAGAAGGTCACACAAGGTGATCACATAACCCGAGGACAGTGCAGCTGTCATAAATACATGCCAATTCCAAAGCGGCCGAAATTTTGAAAAATTGCCATAAGTCACTTTTTTCCGTGTTGTTGTAATTTTGAACAGTCACTAAACAAACTGTTGTACGTCAAGGACTACCTGTATTCAGTAGATCTTAATCCAATGTATGTAAAACTGAACTATTTACCTTGACCATCCACCTGTGCGCTCCATCCCTTTCTCAAGGCCTATTTTGCAAATGTGCCTGCAGCTTTCCAGTTGAAGACAATGCATTTTCTTTATTTAGGTGACAAAGGAGTAAAGGGCGAGTCTGGAGTCACTGGAGGGAAGGGTAAAGCAGGTACAACTTTGTTTGTTCTCCTTTTGCATTTCTGAAGCATTTGTTGTCCTCTAGATCAGGGCTTTTCAACCAGTGGTATGGGTACCACCTGTGATACATTGGCACATGGCAGGTGGTACACAACCATCCTAGAAAAGTGATAGCGGGGAAGGGGAATGAGCTGAACCGGTGGCAGCACCGCACAAGCCTGAGCGAGAGATGGCTGGAGCTGCAGGACTGTCAGGGCTCAGCAGAAGTGCCAGGATCAGTGCCGCTTTCCAGCTGATCAGCACTTCTTCGGGGCTGTCAGGGCTCAGTGGATAGAATTGGAAGTGGAAGCGCCAGGATCAGTGCCAGGCTCCAGCTGGAGCTCTGCGCTGATCCTGGTGCTTCTGCTGAGCCCTGAAGAAGCGCCAATCAGCTGGAAAGCAGCACTGATCCTGAGGCTTCTGCTGAGCCCAGAAGAAGCGCTGATCAGCTGGAATGTTGCAGCATCTCCAGGGTCTTGAGATTTACATTCAGATGCTTGGCAACTGATTCATATTTATGACGGTCACAGTGTTCAAGGGTCATGTGAAGTGACCAAAACCTGCTGCAACCACCCAGCAGACGGGGGGAATAAAAACCAAACACCCACCCCACCCCACCCCCACTTCCAATCCTCAACAGAAATGCTCACAACAATGAAAACCTCGGACAGGAAGAAGAGCGCCACCGGGAGGGCAGGCAGGTGTCTTGCTCGGCTGTGGCTTGGGGGGCACTTTTTTCAGTGCCATTGTAACTTCGAACAGTCACTAAGCAAACTGTTGTAAGTCGAGGACTACCTGTACTTTATCACTTTTTTCCTTTTTTGGGGGGGGTCAAGTTTTTGACACCTTGCTAGGCGACGGGTGGTCCTCAGATGTTGCCATATCCTAAAAGTGGTACAATGGTGAAAAGGTTGAAAAGCCCTGCTCTAGATCAGAGACCACCAAATTGTAGACACTGTGCACCCTAGCCTGTTGGTCCAGAGGGCAAGGAAGGGTGTTTTATTATCCTAGCGCAGGGGTAGGCAACCTTTGCTCTTTTACGACTCGTGGTCTTCTGCTCCCAGAATTCCTGAGCATGGCTGGCTCAGGAATTCTGGGAGTTGAAGTCCACGAGTCATAAAAGAGCCAAGGTTGCCTACCCCTGTCCTAGCGTCACCATCACAGCATCACAGCAGATGGCAGTACCAGCCAGTACTGCTGATCTCAGAGAAATTAAACAGAGCCAGACCTGGCAGACAGCTCAGACATCCAAGGGCTGTAGGCTAAACTGAGAACTAAAATCAGTGAAAATAGAAAATGATGAGGGGGACATGATGAAATCAGGAAAAAAAAAACCTGTCTGCAAGAACATAAGTCTTTATAAGCTTCTGAAATACCAATAAGGAGGAGGTTGATCTGATCTCTAATGGAGGCTGTTTCTTTGCCTAGGAAAAGCAGCACTTCCTTGTTTCATTTCCCATCCTAACCCCTGCAAACCTCCCCAAAATATGAAATCAGAAACAAGTTTTTTCTCTGTTGGATTTAATTGGTCAAGCTAATTCTGTTTAGAGTAGGTAGACCTGCAGGTTTTTAAACAGAAGTGCTCAGAAACTAACGCTACAGATAGTCCTCTATTTATGATCGGTCACTTAGCAACTCTTTGAAGCTGCAACAGGCTTTCCCAAGAGTACTTACAACTGGGTTGTGACCAGTGGTGGGATTCAAATATGTGAACAACCAGTTCTCTGTGTGGATGCCGCTTCCGGAAGTCCATTGTGGGTCTGGGCAACAAAAAATTAGCTACCGGTTCTGCCGAAGTCATGAGAACTGGCTGAATCCCACCACTGGTTATGACCATCCAACCCCTCAGTGGTCACAAGACTGCATTTTATGACGTTTTTGCTGAAAATTGGTCTTCTGATTTTCAGGAAAACTAGCCCATAGCGAACCATTGTTTCCTTTAATGACCGTTGCAAAAAAACCTTGTAAAATAGGGTCGGTCACATGGGTGACCCACTTTATGAACATCACTGGTCCTGGGTCAAGAACTACCTATAAAAAGGCAATTTTCTGAAGATGTTCTTAATGAACAGTATTCTTAAACTAGAGATAGGATTGCTATGTTCAAAACAGCCCCATAAGAGGTCACCTCGGCCACAGTCTGGCTCTCTGATTCAAGTTTTGTTTGCCAAGGGGTTGTTTTAAGGCAGGCATGTCAAATTGCCGGCCCACGGAAGCATCACGCCGAGACCGCGTCCACCCCATTGCCGGCAATGGGGGAAAGTTGCGATACGTCGCGCGACATCATGTGACGTCGCGAGTTTGACATGCCTGTTTTAAGGGAAAGAATAAAGTCTTACCTGCACTCTGAAATGGTACAGGCACCTCAGCCAGAATTAGACCTGCATCAATTAAAATGCTGTGGTGATCCAGCCCTCTGCCCTCAGCCATTTTCATTTAATTAAACCTTTATGAAAATGTAGATTCAAAAAAGCATATTTAATGCTACACCCAATGACTGTATTCACTTAACATACTTTATGAGGGCATTTAAAAAACAGGAGAGGTATTCATACAACAAGATAAGCCTGGTTAATTTTAACTTTGTCTTGGTTTTGTGTCTTAGCAAATGATGCAAAGCAAGCTGATTTAAGAAGTTTATGGTTTGATCCAGTGTTTCTCAGCCTCGCCCACTTAGAGATGTGTGGGCTTCAACTCCCAGAATTCCCCAGACAGCATGAGTCAAATGATTGCCATCTTGCCAAAATGATTGCTTTTTCCAGTTAGTCCTTGACTTAGGACCAAGGATGGCTGTAACCAACCCTATTTTACATTTTTTTGCAGTATTTGTTATGGGCCAGTTTTCCTGAAAATCAGAAATAAATTCTGGTTTTCAGCAAAAACATCATAAAATGAAGTCACGTGAATACAGCCATTGAATGTTAATGCATCTAAGCAGTTGGGGGAGGCACCTTGCTGGCTGTAGTAATATTAATACTTGTCCCGAGAAACTCTACTTTTTTATGATACTGTTAACTCCCATAAATCCACCAGATTTTTGTAAAAAAAAGTACATTTTTTTAAAAAAATATGCAAATATAATTGCATATAATTGATATGGTCCATTTGTGTATCTAGAAATGAATAGCCACAATTTCAAATCTCCACTCTTACTTCAACACAGGATCAAATTCAATTTCCTTTGGCCTCTCCTATTTTGCAAAATAGAAGCAGCAATAGAATTGCCTCTAGGTTGTAATAGGCTAGTTTTGGAATTCAAAAGAAGTCCCAGAAGAAGATAATGGCAAACATTTCCACAATACAGGAAGTCCTCGTTTACAACTGGGATTGACAACTTGGTCATTAAGCAAAGAGTTTGCTAAGTAAAATCGTAACTGTGCTTATGTTCTTAATTCAGCTTTTCTTTGCTTTCCATACCTGTGAAGGACCGGTGTTGCACATTTATTTTTTCATCAGTGTTGTAAGTGCAAGCAGTTGCTATACAAGGCAGTCATTAAACTAGGACTATCTGTGATGCCAAGGCAATTATTCTGATATCACCAACTCATCTTAAGGCCCTGTTTATTTATTTTGAGGACAAATGTTATCTGTACATTTTGATTTGTGAGAAACTGAGATATATAAATATAATAAATAATTATAATTAATATATTATTGACATGGAAGAGGGAATTGACAGGTCTCATTAAAGTTGCTTTGGACTCAAAACTCATAGCATCATGTTATCCATCTTGATACTTCAGCTACTTATAATGTTTCTATATTTATACTGAGTTAGGTGGCGTCTGTGATTGTGGGAAATATCGCAAAGTTGTTGGACAACTGGACATCAATGTGGCTCGACTCAAAAATTCCATTAGTTTCGTAAAGAATGGTACGTTCCACATCCTTAGTTTTTGTTTGTTTCTCTTAAATTGGGGATTCACGTGAGACTCCTGGAAGGCTGGAAGTGGTACAAAAGTGCCCAAATCTCTCAAAGATCATGCCATCAAAATTCAGTGGAAAACTGCCCATTTTTTGCGGCATATTCTTTTCTTCTTTTTGATAACAATTTTGATGACAAGACTCTCCTAATTTATGTGCTAATTCACTGACAATACAGGAAACGTGTCAAAGCATGCACAGTCTTATTACGCTGAGATAACCCAGGAGTAAACACAGTAAACAGTGGTCTATATTAAATGGTGGTTTATCTTACACTATCTACAATATCATACACCAGGAACAATATACATACACGTGTTAATACAGCAGGCTCCAACACACAGCAGCTACAGCAGGAAACAGAAGAGAGCGAGAACACAGCAGTAGAGCCTTCCTTTTATACTTGGGGTGTCAAACTGCCGGCCCGCTGACTGGTTGCATCATACGGAGGCCGTGCCCACCCCAGCTCTGGCAAAAAAGCCATGATACATCGCAACATGTCACGTGACGCAGCGAGTTTGACACCTGTGTTTTATACAAAGGCTCTTAAAGGGACATAGACCCTGCTGAGTCATTCCCATCATTACATCATACATCTCACATTACATAAGCTGGTTAGCTGTTAAATCATAACCTTGACAAAATGTTGGGGGGGGAGTGAGTAAGGATCATGCTCAAGTACAGGCAATCCTTGACTTATGACTAGTTGCTTAGTGACTGTTCGAAGTTACAACAAACCTACCTTGGGCCGACTTATAACCTTGATTCAAAGTTTTGACATGGGGGCTGCTCATGTGACTGAACTCTAGTCGCTTGGCAACACAGACATATTTACCGCCCTTACCTCCGTTACAGTCATAAGTCGAGGACTACCTATACCAGAGAGCAGTATCTAATATATGTTCCATAGAGACGTAGATATTGGATATGAATTTTCAGTAAGAAACTAATCAGGGTTGATGGTTAGGAAGAAGAGAAGGTAGTTAATAAATTAAGGATATGAAAATTGAGAATATATAGCAAAGGGATGTGCGAGGGCTCCTAACTATGAAATGGCAGAATTTGGGGGCAGAATTACTAAAATAAATTATCAGCATGCAGGACATTCTAAGCTGGAGAGATACTACAAATTCAGAAACATCTTTCCTGTATCCAAGTCGTGCTTAGCTATAGCAATAGTATTTAAGCTTATATACTACTCCCATAGCACTTTACAGCACTCTCTGGGTGGTTTACAATGTAGACACATTATTTGCATATTGCCCCCAACAATCTGGGTCCTCATTTACTAACCTCAGAAGGATGGAAGGCTGAGTCAATCCTGAGCCAAGTCAGGATCAAACTCCAGGCTATGAGCAGAGTTAGACTGCAATATTGCACTGTAACTACTGCACCACCAGGAGTCTCCCATAATTATATATAGACATCCGTGATTATATACTTAGGTATCCTGAAATGGCTATTGTTTTTTATATAAAAACAACACCAGGTTTTTATTTCTCTTTCTAAAAGTGTTAGCAGGCATCAGAGAAACAGAAGAAAAATACTACTACATTGTTCAGGAAGAAAAGAACTACAGGGAAGCCCTCGCTCACTGCAGGGTTCGAGAAGGAATTTTAGCGATGCCAAAGAATGAAGCTGCTAACGCAGTGATTTCTGACTACGTCTTCCAGAGTGGCTTCTTCCGAGTCTTTATAGGGCTGAATGACATAGAGAAGGAAGGCCAGTTCATGTATGCAGACCGTACACCATTGCAAAGCTACAGCAATTGGAAGGAAGGAGCGCCTCAGGACACCCAAGAGAATGAGGACTGTGTGGAGATGCTCAGCACTGGGAAATGGAACGACACAGAATGCCACCTCACCATGTATTTTGTCTGCGAATTTCCAAAGAGAAGGACGTAGGCGAAAGAAGATACCTAAAGTACACTGTAGAATCATTCTTTGACAGTTACTGTTCTGTCCCAGCCTACATGAGTCCTTGTTGTACTCACAAGGAGAAACCTCTCTTCCAAGAAACAGGCAGGAACTCACAGACCTGAGTCAATGTCCGAGGCAAACAAACACAGTCCACAGAAACTCGATCCTCAGCATGAATGGTTGCCTTTGGCAACCAGCACCTCCCACACCTTCCCTTTTATAATTCAGCCAAGGCGTGGCTTCCTAATGCCCTCTCCTTTGCCTTTGGAGCCGCCCCATTGCATTCCTCTGTCCCACTCTCTTCTCCTGTCTGCATCCAGGATTTGTCCCAGATGTTCCTCATCGCTGTCCAACTCAGCTCCAGTACAGCTGTGTCTCAGCCTGAGTGCGATTAGAGGGGCCAGGCTCCTCGTCCAACCGTAAGTCTTGGAGCTCCTCAGAGCCTTCCTCTGACTCTAATGTCACTCCAGGCCCCTCCTCCTCATCTGATTCCTACACTCAGCTGCTGGATCCACTGGCTAGCGAGGAATCACAACAGTTACAGGATTTAGGACTGTTTTTCCCAGCCTGATGTCACTCAGAACAATTGGACTTCAATTTTCATCATCCTGACACAACATAAGCATGGAAGGATGGGAACTGAAGTTCAAGATATAGGGAGGGCACCACACTGAGGATAACGGGTCTTAGGAAAGAACCTGGTTCTCAATGGAAGAGAATATTTGTAGCTCAGGGTTGAACTCTGGGGCCCTTGGTGCTGTCTGAGCTTCATTACCCAACTAGATAATATCATCAGTGCAGAAAACCACCAAACTCAGAGAGCACCAAGGAACCCACAATCTGGTTCTCATTTAGGGACACGGGAACAAATTACAATTGGACATTAAAATTCCAAATTGTGGGGTTTTTCTTCCAAGTTAGTATTTTAGTAGCACAGAATTAAGACGGAATTTTGTTCTTTATGCTAAGGCAACATGCTACCTGCAGGCACCTATGTACCACCAGACACTTCTCTTAGTGTGCACCAGATCCCATCTTCAGTGATATAAATTTATCATTATTTTAGTCAAAAAAACCAGAAAGCTGGTAAACTGCAAAACAAAGCATCAATGTCCACTATCATATGTATTTGCTTTAGAATTCACAATGGACATACAGTATAATCTCATTTATTGGAATGATAGGAAACCAGTTCATCTTCAGTAAAATGGTTAGAGGCAGTCCCGATTTTACAACAATTTTTATCACAGTCATGAAGCAAATCAGGCAGTCTTTAAGTGAATCATGCAGTCATTAAGTGAATCTGGCTTCCCCCATTGACATTACTTGTCAGAAGCCAGCAGAGAAGATCATACATTGGGATCGCATGGCTGCAGGGTGCTGCAATTGTCATAAATATGAGCCAGTTGCCAGTTGTGATCATGTGACCATGGGGGTTTTATGATGGTCAAAACTTTGAGTATGGGTCATAAATCACTTTTTTTAGTGCCGTTGTAACTTTGAACAGTTGCTAAACAAGTTGAGAACTACATGCATTTTGTGAGTGGCCATGCCCTCTATTTTACAGTGCAGGTAGTCTTCGAACTATGACCACAACTGAGCCCAAAATGTATGTTGCTAAGCAAGACAGTTAAGTGACTTTTGCTCCATTTTACAATCTTCCTTGACATAGTTGTTAAGTGAATCACTGCAACTGTTAAATTAGTAACATGGTTGTTAAGTGAATCTGGCTTCCCCATTGACTTTGCTTTTAAAAGGTTGTAAAAGGTGATCACGTGACCCTGGGACACTGCAACCATCATAAATATGAGTCAGTTGCCAAGTTTATGAATTCTGATCACATGACTATGGAGATGTTGCAATGGTCATAAGTGTAAGAAGTCGCTTTCTCAGTGCCGTTGTAACTTTAAACAGTCACTAAATTAACTGTTGTAAGTCAAGGATTGCCTTGCCTATTTTATGAAAAATAAGTCTTCTACAACAGCCATTTTTTGACTGGGCCTATATCAAGCTCTCACAATTTCAGCTGTGGCCCTAATCTCTTTTTTCTTCTTAACTTCTGACATTCTTCACATATGCATCTGAAGAAAATGTAGCCCTAGGGCACACGTGATGGGGACAGGGAAAATCAAAGCTACGAAAGAACAAAGCAAATAAATTTTTCAGCTACAAATGTGTGGATTGGTCACCGGGCAGAGTTCCATTCCAGCAGATTTACGTCTGGATTTTTAATTAATTCTCTGGATATAAATCCCGGGTAGTGGGGGAGATTTATTTACTTCTGAAAATGCACAAAATGGCCAGATTCTCAACCCTTTCTTTATATTTATGGCTAAAGGGATTTGTTACGGAGATTGCATCTCTTTTGTCACGCGTCCTGGAATAAACGTGTGATTGTATGATTTGTGTGGTCTCATAGTTGGTCCAGGAAGTGCTACAAAAGGCACTCAGCTGCCCAGGCTACTATAATAGTATTGAGCTTTACTATTATGATAAAATAGGGGGGGGAAAGTTGGATGTCCTGGCCGCATTTCACATCTTCAAAAGCGAGATGAATTTGCTTCCTGGAAATTTGATCCTAGCAAATTACATGGCAAATTCTTTTACATCTTTACTTCAAATTACACAAGTCCTCCTCTGATCTCAGATCCTTACCTACAAGTTAATCCTTGACTTATGATGAACTAGAATTTCCATTCCTAAGCAAGGCAGTTGTTCAATGAGTTTTATGACCGTTCTTGCCATGATTGTTAAGCAAATCATTATAGTTGTTAAGTGAATCACACAGTTGTTAAGCAAATCCAGCCTGCCCCCATTGACTTTGCTTGTCAGAAGCCCACTGGGAAGGTTGCAAATGGTGATCACATGACTGCAGATGTTGCAACCATTGTAAATACAGGAGTGTTGCCAAGTTCCAAAACGTTGATTACATGACCATGGGGATGCTGCAACAATAAGAAGTGGGAGGACTGTCTGTCAGTCACTTTTTTTCAGTTGGGCTATACCAGGGGTAGGCAACCTTGGCTCTTTTGTGACTGGTGGACTTCAACTCCCAGAACTCCTGAGTCGGCTCAGGAATTCTGGGAGTTGAAGTCCATGAATCATAAAAGAGCCAAGATTGCCTACCCCTGGGCTATAACTTCTGATGGTCATTAAACAAATGATTGTAAATTGAGGACAACCTGTATCGATAATCCTGTGGTAAGAAAGGGTGTTGGAAGATATTTTCCACTTGATTTTAGAGTTAGTCTACACATGCAGAAGGAAAAACAGTTTTCAGAGCTCCAGTTAATAAACAGACAATATTTGTGACTGCTCCCCTATTGCTCGATTCCTCCCAAACATTTGAGGGAATCTGAGCAAAATTCAAGACGGGAGTTCCTCATGAATATTTGTTTATCAATGGTTATGGCACAGCATCAAGTCCCAACAGCAGAATGCAACCCAGCAGGAGAGCTCACTAGGAATCTCAATAGTTAATTTATTGCTAAGAAGGTAAAACATTGTTAGAAGTAAGTCTTCATCCTGGTTCATCCAAGCCGGGAATAAATAAGCAAACATGGCGACTGCTTTGGGAAGAAGGTTACAGTTTATTGCAGAAGACAGATGGTCCTTGCAAGAAGCAGCAGAGGAGAAGAAAGAGAGGGAGCACATGGGCAGAAGGTCTTTTTATACCCTCTAGCCCTGCTTGGAATAGTTTCNTCCTGCTTCCCAGGTGATGGGGCTAATGACTCTTAAGAGCTTGGGTGGGGTATGCAGATTTTCTCTTTGTCTTCTTGATTGCTCTGGCTTCAACTTTCTGATGGTTCCACATCTGCATTTGTATAAGACTAGCTACTGCTTTGGGCAAAGAGATGAGGCCAGGTTTGGTTTCTGCTTTTCAAAAAATGCTTTTAAAAAATCCTTTTGATGAACAATATCTTTCTTTCTGCCTTTTAATATTTCCTTCTCTGGGTTAACTTCCCACAACATTAATATACTGAATCTTGAAAGCTGAGTAAGACAGAATTCTTGCATTCATTTTTTAAGTACATGCATTAAAGCAGAGTCTCTGAGAATCATTTCAACTACTTTTTTCAGGACCAATGAGATAACCAATATTTTTCCAGATTAGATTAATCCTAAAATATCCATCTGCTCATTGTTGTTATTGTTTGAATACACCTCCTTTTCTTCCCAGCCCCACAATCTCTTCTGAACACATTTTTCCATTGCATCTTAAGACGGGAGGCTACCTTTAAGAGCACAAGGCTGGCTGTGTAACACACAATTTTCTCCTGCATCACTCCCAATATCTGTTGCCCAAGGTCCCTGTTTCAATCTAACTCTTTGTATAGCCAGCCCTGCCTACTGAAAGAAATCAGAGCAGAAAACCAGTGCAGCCAGGAAAAATTTGGGCTAGTTTTTTTTATTAGAGGAAAGGTATAGTTTTACTAACATAGTGGAGCCTTTCATACCAGAAATATGAGAAGATGCAAAGATCTTGCTTTAAATGTAATTTAGAACTGCAAATCTACTATGAAGTACTGCTGTGGTGACCAGATACAATTGCAATGCAAAGTGAAAAACTTTGAGGATTATTTTATCCATTGTGCTTTGGGACATTGTGCTATGGTCTTTTTGATTTGTGACAATGAGCAGAAAAAAGAGCAGAAAAACCCGAATCACAGGTTCTTCTGAGAGACGGCATTGGAATCACCAGTTTTCTGAACTGCTTTTCAGTCCAAATTCTGCCAAATTTGCACTATCTACAGAGATGCTTAAAAAAAGGGAAGAAGGGTTTATTTAAAAAATAATTACAGGATGTCATCCAAAGGGAGGCCAAGTATTATCCACCATAGTTAAATTCTTTTCAGACAGAGGCAGACAAGGGCAGAAAATTAAAAATATTAGTGGTTGTGGAGAAAGCTAATTGTTTCAGGAAATGAGATTTTGATGCTGTTGACTCAACTCTTTAAAATGCTCCTTGAGTTGATGCTGTTGACTCAACTCTTTAAAATGCTCTACTTCTTTTCTGTAATGAACATACAATAGCATGAACAGGGTTTAAGGAACCCACAAATGAAATAAACTGGCCAAAATCAGTAATTCTCACAAGATCTCAGTTTTCACATAATATTAGCAAGGTCTTGGGAATGACACTGCAAAGGACTGATAAGATTTAATGTATTAGAAAGTTGGTCCACTTCTGCCAGAATTGAGGATGCGCTCATGTTGGGAATTGATTTAGATTGTCCCCTATTTTCTTTTGAGGTTAGAAGTTGTTGCTTATCTTCCATGACTTTAATCTTATCGAATGGCCTCTTGTTAGAACTGATGTTTGCTTCATCAGTAGCTGAGATGCACATGTACAGCTTCTATCAAGATGATAATTGATTTTAGCAACTGCTCCATTTTGTGATTGGTCACAGCCAGCCAGATGTTTAAACTGGACCTGACATTTTTATCCCTGTTGAGTCCTGACAAGGACCTGGATAGGGAGATGTTGGTGTTTCGTGGTGGTAAAGGTATTGCCACAGGATGTAAGCTCTTCCAAGTATAGCTGTCTTTTGCAATTGACTGATAGTGATTTTGTCAATGCCAATGATGTTCAATTGGTACTAGTTCAATTGTTTTGGGATTGCGCCCAAAGTGCCTATTACTATTGCTACTATCTTTGCTTTCTTTTGTCACAGTCGTTCTATTTCTATTTGCAGGTATTTGTATGTTGTGTCTTTTCTTCAGTTCTTTCTCATTATTATGGTTATTTATCAGATTTTAAATATATTCATTATTCTTGCAGATGTTTTAATGGCACTTGGATAGTTGGCTTTACCACTGTTGATCGCTGTTGTTATTAACTGCAAGGTGTCCTTTGCAGATTCAGCAGTATACAAATGGAAAAAATAAAGAATAACAGGGTTGGTACAGCTCTGTTGGAATTTAAATGCATGCTGAAATATTTCTACTCATTGTGCATAACACTGCACTGAACTAGATATGGTCATTTATATATCTCATATTATTCTGAATGTTTACTACTGCATTTTGTGTGCTTTTCTATTATTTTGTATTATGGTGATTGGACAGTTTTTGTTTTCTACTTTGGAATTGCTAGAGTATATAATAAATTTTCATAAACAATTGGGAGTGTCACTGCAGGAGAAGAAGCACTAAAACACTCAGAAAAGGATATCAGTTACTAATACAGCCAAACCATGGCACTTTTGCACTCTATTACAGTAGCATAAAAAGTGTCCAGGAGAAAGAGCAGAGGGTATTGAAGCAACTAATTGCACACTAATCCCCAAATGACATTTGGCAAAATCTTTCCTGTGTTGGTTTCCAAGCTTATGTATGAGACTGTGCAGAATTCTATTATTGTATTATGCAAATTTATCTTGATCTAAAACAAGAATGGGCAACTTAAGAGCCTAAATTCTCCAGTCTTGTTTTTGCCATTCCTAGAGCTTTCCTACAATTGCACTGCCAAAATTTAGTGAATACAAAGCCAGTTCCTGGTAGCATGAATGTTGGTTTTATTTTTCCATGGAAATAAGAACAAAAATGAGTGTGTGAAGCCATTGCTAAGCTAAAGACACTTGTTTTCTTTTACCCAACGCCACTCCCAAAAAGGATTTGAAAAAAGAAAAGATTCTTCCTCTCCAAGGATCTCACTAGAGAAAATCAGAAAAATTGAAGTAGCAGCATACCATGGAATGAAGGGACTGTTCATTGTATATACACATTTGCTTGCTCTCTCTATGCACACATGGATTAATGCACGCTCTCTCACACATACACACATATACATATATATTAGCAGAACTGTAGTTTACATCTTTTCCTGCTTTCCCCATTCACTTCGCATCATAAATCAACATTATATGGTATGTGTATCCTTTGAGATTAAAATAAATACATTCAAAATTGGTTTCATATCTTATCATTCTTCATGATGAAAAGAATCCTTTGTAATGAAGGAATTCTTGTCAATTTTATATTTCGTGCTGTAGCACAATGTGCCAACACAAAGCCTTGCATATCTCTAAAGCTGCACACCCAAGAGGAGATTTTGCTGTGCATATTTTTCATAAAAAGGATTTGGTTTTCCTCTTTTCTGAAGCATGTCTGCTTTAATCTAGCACAAAGAGCAATCTCCCTACTTCTCAGAAGTCTTTGGTTCCAATCAAGCACAGCCATCCTATTTCGATCACCAGTGTGACAAAACACGCTGTGTCTATAATTATAAAATACAATTGCAATTTTGTAAGGACATTTCAGCAAAACTAAGCAATTCATGCATACGGACTCCCTTTCGTTAGGTATAGTCAAGCAGAGGCCTGCTAGCCATTTGAAAGAGAAGTTTTAATTTGGATTCCTACTAAGGAGACTTGGATTTGATCAAATTGCCTCTGATTCTAGGATAGCAGTACATGTGGTCCTTGTTTAGGGATAATTTGCAGTTACCATAGCATCTATGGAGATTCTCAGTCATCCAGGTCATGGTTGCCCCAAAGATGCTTTTTCAAGAGGCAACTGGGCTTTGTTTGTTTTTCCTTGAAGACGTTTCGCTTCTCATCTAAGAAGCTTCTTCAGAACTGAAGAAGCTTTTTGGATGAGAAGCGAAACGTCTTCAAGGAAAAACAAAGGAAGTCCAGTTGCCTCCTGAAAAAGCATCTTTGGGGCAGTTACGAGAGTGATGAAAAAAGTAACTTTACCACCAATTCTTGCATTTACAACCTTTGCATGTCAGCAAAGGGAAGCTAATGATCATAAGCATGGTTGTGGTTTCACTTAGCTACTACGCTGCTTAACAATGAGTTGCTAGACACCAAAAGGACTACCTCTAACAGCATTCCGACAATGGAACCCACTTTCCTAAGAAATGATGCATTTTCCTGCCTTGAATGTGTTCAAGGGACTAAGCAACCATCTTTCTGGATGCTTTTATATGGATTTCTGCACTGAACAAGGACTTGATCCTGATGACATAGGCCAGGGGTCCCCATCCTTTCCAGCTCTGCAGACCGGAAGCGGCAGTGGTAGCGGCAGTCAGGGGGGGGGGAAGAGGGTTCATGTACACAGCCACTGCTTGCACAAATAGAGCTTTGTGCACTCACTTGTTGATAACGTGGCCAGGTTCCTAACAGGCTGTGGCCTGGTACTGAGCCACAGATTGGGGGCTGTGGACCCCTGACACAGGCAAGCCTCTCCAAAGTACCTCTTGATAGTATTAGTAATATTATAAATCCACCACTGATTGCAAAAACACCAAAATGGGTTCCTCTGTACTTAACACTGAACGGAATCCGCTAACATCTGTGAATTTCTGCTCACAAACCTACCCAACAAAGCATATGTTCAGGAAAGATTTTTTTTTAAATGTATTTCTTTTTCCAACATTCATATCTTTAAAATCCTATTCGGGTGTGTGTGTAATTGTATTTAAAAGCACAGAAAAAGTTGCATAGGAAACCATTTTTAAAAATCAACAGATTAATTTGAAAGGGATGGTTCACTATTCTAACTGTCTACTGAATATGAAGAGATTGCACTGATTTACATTATTTGTGTAATGAAGTCAGGACAGAGATCGTTTTATTTTCATAATGATGCTATTATTCAAATGAATCAGATCAGAGGAACAATGAATTTCTGAATTTTTTGAATCCACAGTGGAATACTTCATTGAGTTGCTTATTTTATTGAAAAAATGTCTAGGGCAAGTCAATTCAAACACCATGACTCCAGGTGGTTTACAATAAACCCCAAATAAGCAAAACCATATAGCAGGGGTGTTAAACTACCGGCCCGTGGACTGGATGTATCATAGCATCCACCACATTGCCAGCAATGGCAAAAAAGTCACGATACGTCACGACACGTCACGTGTTGTTGCGAGTTTGACACCCCTGCTATATGTCATGGCCCAGGACGCTGAAAAAACTGCTCCAGCTAAACCTGTGAAATGTCAGTTCAGGAGATGCCAAGCCACGAATCACTTGAGGGTGATCAAACACAGGCTCCATCTGAACAGCTGGAGCAATCACATGATGACAGGCAGCCTTAAAGCCCTTGAACTTGGACAGTAGAGCAGAGAGAAGTCAATGAGGCTTTTTGCCAAGCAAAGCAGTAACTCTCCCAATTAAAGACAGCTGGCTATAACCTGATTTAAGAAGGAGCCCTAAGCCATTTTTCTCTATTGGAAACAATTGTCTCATTTCCTGCTCTGGTGTGTCATTCTGGTGACACTCTGATCTTGGATTAGCTGACAAACCTGACTTGGCCCTCTGAAGTTTGGACTGAATGTTGACTCTTCTATGGGCTTATATTGAAAGTGAAACCACTCAGACATGCTTTTTCCACAGATGCTCTGTTTTGATTTACGGTACATTCCTTGTCTGTGATCTATTGAGCCTTGAGTAAATTACTATTTTCACCTAGCGACTGAGTTTGGAACCTAAAACAGAATAGACAGTTCTGATACACTGAAAATGAGCCCTTGATAGGCAATCAGGGACTTGAAATTATTCTCTAGACTGGGACCCCCATCTTCCTAACCACGATGCCTAAAGAGCTAACTGGGAGAGAGGTTGTCACAACATCACCAATTCAAGGAGGACAAAGGCCAGAATCAGCACAAGAAGTCACTCAACGAACTCAAATCAGTGCCTAAACACTTAAACTTGCCTTATAATTTATAAGCTACAAGGAAAATACAGTCTGCAATCACTAGGAAATGGAAAAAGTAACATATTGGTTTTCACCCAACTGTAGCAACATCCATGATCAAAATTCGGGCACTTGGCAACTGGCACATATTTATGACAGTTGCACTGTCCTGGGGTCATGTGATCATCATTCCCAGCTGCCTTCTGACAAGCAAAGTCAATGAGGGAAACTAGATTTAAGCCCGTTTCTGGCAAAAAATATATATAAATCATGTTCATGTGACTTTGGAATGCCGCTTATAGTCATAAATGCAAGCAGTTGCCAAGCACCCCATGTGTGATCATGTCACCATTTGGTGGGGCTTCGAAACTTCAAATCTAAGTTGTAAGTTCCTGTTTTGGAGTGTGTTGTAACTTTGAACATCGCTAAGCTACCAGTCGTAACTTCAGGACTACCTGCACATATATTGTATTCTTTTTGTAGGAAACTTACTGTTCTAAATATACCAGTTGCTGAGTTTCCTTGTCAGTCTTCCTGTAAATAAAATTACTTTTTTTGCCATTTGAAGAGACTTGATTGTAGATCTCGGATTTAAGCCGGCAGATGCCATATATAACTGAATAGATTACACAATAGTATTAGAGTGGAAAAAAAATAGAGAACACTCATATACCTACACACGCCTCTCCTGTCCTCAGTTTCTTACTCATTCTCTAGAGTAAAATATACTCAAATATTTTGAAGAACATTCAATAATTGCTGAGGTTAAAACTTGCATCAGCATTGAGTGGTTCCACATCTTGATGTAAGTCACATAGTCCAGTTATCTGAAAAGGAGATGAACCACGGCAAAAGATTATATCCATATGCACAAGTATAGAACTAATATAGCATTGAAAATGGTGGGCATTTCCCCCCAATTAAGTACAATGAGTCTGCCTCCTTGATCTGGTTTTCGTTCTGCCCCACTTTCACAGTGCCTCAAATTATTTATCCAATTTGGAAGCTTCGCTATGCAGTTCTGAAGCCAACTTTTTACTCATTAAACAGGGTGGAGTTCATCATAACAAGTATAGTCCTGTTGAGCAGAGAATAACGTAGCAGGAACAGCTAAGGAAAAATCTTATGAAGTTTTGCAGGAAATGATGGCCTATGTTTTAAAAGCCACTGCCCATGCTTGGTAATGATTCAGCAGTGAAGCTTAGGGTTACTTTTAAGCCCAGTTTCCCAGGGCTACAACCACACAATACTGGGCACAGTTTAGATTTTAAAACCCCACTGAAGCTGAAGGGATAATTAAAAGCAAGACTCCAAATTGGTTTGCAGACATTTTATTATGTGACTAGATTGTATTTATTATTATAAAAGTGCATTTTAAAAGAATGACTAAGTATTGTTCTCTCTATATATATGTGTGTGTGTGTGTGTGTGTGTGTGTGTGTGTGTGTGTGTGTGTGTAGGTCTTTGGTTATTCGGGTTTTAACGTCGCCAAGACACTTCCAATTTTACGCGGGAGAAAACCCGAATAACCAAAGACCTACATACAAACACCCGCGAAAACCTCAGAAAACATATACGACGTTTCTATGAGGTCCCACTCGTCATCTTCAGGCTGGGGTCTTCGGCTTCGTGCTTGTGCGAGCAAAGTGTGATCGGAGCTGCCGTCTCTCTATAAATATTGGTGGGGGGGTGTGGAGTGCTGGCTTTGTTGCTGTTGGTGGGTTGGTTGGCTGTGTTGGAGTTATTGTTTGCGGATTGTTCGGCTGTTTCGTAACATCCTGAGTAGCTGAGGTGCTGACAGCAACAAAGCCAGCACTCCACACACACACACCAATATTTATAGAGAGACG